ATGTTGGAGTTCCTCAGAGCTGTGTGTTTAGTCCTTTTATTTTTATCAGGAGAAATTAAGAAAAAAATGCTTTTTGCCAAAAATTCCAAGCATTATTAAATTAATAATTTATTAAATTAAAGAATCTGTTATGTTAAAAAAAACATGTTTGATTTAAACTTGACTTTGGGAGCCTTTTAGCAGATGATTGTCAGTGGATTTAAAATGTCATGTTGCTGAAATCCACACAGGAAGTTTCCAGAAACAAAGGAAATGAATGAAGAACTCAGAGCGTGTGTATCCTCCCACAGTGTGTCGCAGTCAGCTTCTCGCAGATATTTTTGACTTATGCCTGAAGGCTGTTTTATGCTCTGGAACCAGGTCCTCTGCGTTTGTGTTGCAGTTAAAGCAGATAAGCCCCGCCCCTTCTGTAGACACTCTGCTGCACCTCTCCAGAATTGTAGGTGACCAAAGACAGGAGGCCTCTGATTGGTCAAATCTACATCCGCTCTACACTATGCGTATTTTCTGTTTGGTTCCTCACCGGCTTGTTTTGTTAGTCTGACCGCCATTGTGGAAAACGACTGGAGAAGATGGAGCAGCTAGCAGAGCGAGGTGCGTGACAACGCTGGGAGCCTTTTTCCACCTGGATCTCCCATCTTTTTGGCCCTCATGTCCCTCCGTTGTCGCACAACAGCTTGCCCCCACTCCCTCACCGCCTCGACCGTATCTAGACCCACAGCTAGTTCCTGATTGGCCCTCTGGCGTTGTGGCGTGGAATAACATAATTCAATATTGGGCTTAAATCCAAAATATCTGCGACAAGCTCACTGTGACACACAGGAGGATAACCAGGTCTTAATGTTGAAGCGTGGTCTGTGCTATGTTATTCCACAACACTGCAAGATGGCCTATCAGGAACTAGCTAGGATTGTGGGCTTCCGTGTGTCGGTTTGACGAGCTTTGATTTAGTTTCATAAAACTTTGAGTGGTTTAAATTTAGTAACAGTAAAGATAGGAACTTCATGTAGCTTCACCTTATGCTGCATCATTCTAGTTACTGATGAAATATCAGATGCTTTGGCTTTAAAGAAAAAGTCTGGTCTGCAAAGAATAATCAATGGATCATTATTTATATCTAAAACCAATATGTTCGCGATTTAATTAATTTTCGTTGCGATCTCTGAGTCTGGGAGCGGCCATTTTTGCCCAAATATAGTAGCCCCTCCCTCCTGCCATCTTCCAGCAGTGACGTCACGGTGCGGTAAGCCTAGCGCCATTCTCCCCGCTTTCCAAGCTAAATCAATGGGAACTACTAGACACATCTGCAATCAACAACAATTATTGAAGATTTCCAGAGGACTTCACCATTGAAATTCACCAGAGCTATAGTGAAACTGACAATGCCCACGTGCATGGCAGCTGGATGCTGGAATACATCGGGTAAAAGTGGAAAAAAAGTTATTCCACCTTTCTGATTCCTGATCCTCCACGGACGGGTTGGTCGTTGGATCGCCAACTTGAAGAGGGAGGATTTGCCATCGAACTTCTGGCCAGAGAAAAAACCCGTAATATGTAGCCGACATTTGGAAGAAGAATGTTTTCAAGATGACTTGGATAATAGCGCGTTGTGACAAACACCAGATACAGCACTGGGACTTGATCAACAGCCGATACCGCACCATGACAATGTCACTAACCAGTAGGTGGCAGTAGTGTTCTTTGACAAACATGGATGCCTCCAGTAAAGCACATTCACATGGAAATTACTCTGAATTAAAAACACTGATCATTTATTGAACAGGATGGAATCATTTCATATTCAAAGGACTTTCAGAAGATTGGATTCTGAATATGAGCGACTTGTCCTTTAAATCCCATGTCTGTGGGGGGGTAGTCCTTCATTTATGAAGGACTTACATGATTAAACCATCTTCCACTTTGCTTCTCCTGCTGCTACCTCTGTTAGCCCCCCATCTAAGGCCAAAGGACGGTCCTGCTTCCGTCTTCCCTCACATGAAGCAGGTGCAGCAGCCGATAAGAAGGACAGGCTCCCGTCCAGCTTCCAGGCCTTTGTCTGGACTGGACTCATAAACGGGGACAAAGGGCAGCCATTTCCAGACCCTGGAGGAGGATGGGTTGACCCCTTTAAGGGGGACCCCATAAACCCAAACATCCAGCCCCCCTCTACCCAACCTGGCCTTATGTGAGGGAAGTTAAAGCTGCCTGCAGGGTTCTGGTCCAGCTAAATGTCCTGCTCAAAGCGGCCGTTAACTGACCTTCTGTCACTTCGTCAGTCTTTCAGCTTTAGAGCTGGAGGAACATGCAAACCAATGCTTTTACTCCACTGATGGACTAAGTCAGTCAGGGGCCCAAAGCAGAGAACAGGCCCTGTTCTCTTTCACTGTTTGGCTGGATTATCTCTAACATCATAAATCTATTTCTAACTTATTTTCTTAGGTTGTCTCTTTATTTGATTTTCATCCATCTCTGTTGAAACGACGTTTCTGTTCCTCATGTTTTACTCTCATTAATCTGATTAGTTTTCTGTTAATTTCCTGCCTTCATAAAGAACTTTTATTATTGATTTTATAAATAAAACATTTGCAGCATAATATCTTTCCTCATGTCTAAAACTACTGTAAGTTTTATGGTTATCTAAGATTAATTTTTGCTGCATTAAGAGAGCTAAACCGCGTTTATTTTAATGAAAAAGCCATTTTCTGAACAGAAACACATTTATCTTGAATTCTTCTGATTATGTTTTGGTTCCAATTCCTGATGTCTAAATGTATTCCTAAATATTCAGAAAGTGAAAACTAGGTTCAGACATTTAGTGATATTCTTTGGATCTTCCTCTGCTTTTTGTCCACCAGCACAATGTCCAGTTGGTTTTCCTCTACCATTCTGGAGATACTATCTCATTATTTTGAGATAGCAACTGAAAATAATGATATTATTTATTTATTTATTTATTTTTAACAGAGTGGTGGAAACGGTATTCCATAATATGGTGATAAATAAAAGAAACAGAGAAGCCTGATGGAGCTCCTGAGCTAAAATGTTGTTTAGCGACACTTTGATGCAATATTCAGTGAAATCAGATGTTTTCCGTTACGTTCAGGAAATGTCCGACTCTGGTTGAGGACTTCATGTCTGCAGTAAGACTGAGACCTCAGAGCTCCAGTAGTAATTCATATGAAAGCAGGTTCCACTGGTTCTTCTTTCCCAAAGAACTTCAGAACAAACATTCCCAGGAAGGCTGAGAGGTCGGAGCAGGACGGCTCCACGCTGCTCCTCTGTTCAGATTTATCTCCTGAATCTTCATCCAAACCTGTTTCTGTCTGCGGGCAAAATGCTGACAAGTGGTACGATTTTTAGTTATTTTTCATTTTTTCATGCAGTACAATCGGCCATGTTTATCATAACCGGCTGAGTGGAAATCCGGTTCCCTGGATGAATGAGAATTTACGCAGGAACTTTCCTGGATTAGAAATTTAACTTCTGATTTTCAAAGATTTTGTGAAAAAACCGATCTGTGGGATTTCCTTCATCACCTTTCATTTTATTGTTCGAAGGTTTGGACCTTTGGGGTCGATACTGACAGAAAAAAGAAAAGAGAAAGAAGAACCAAACTCACTTCAAGCCTCTGAGTTTTCAGCAGTGGCGGTTCTAGACCAAATGGCCAAGAAGGGGACCAGCAGGGGGGCCGGCATGTTTTGATAGGGGAGCAGAAAGCATGAAATAAAAAAACAGGACAAAGGATTCAAATATATATTAGAATGAAGTATAAATTCTAATCAATTAGGTTTAACTAAAATTCTATGTCTAATTAGGTCAATATACAAATCTATAATTTAGGAATTTTACATATTTTTGACCTTTTGACATTTAAGATTTTTGACATGATAAGATAAAACTACCATGTTCTATAAAATATGAATTAGAACTCAAGAAAAACTAATAAATTCAGCTGTAAAAAATTTTTTTTTTAAACATTTATCAGATGAAAACTGGGATCTTATCTCATTCCCACTGAAGCTATCATCTTACTGTTTTTAAATAATTAGTAAAACAGAATTTGTAAAGAAAATAACTGAAATAGATGCAGAGGATGAATCAGTAACCGGTCTGTTCCAGCTCAGATTATCAGTAGAATTTCTTTGAGTATGTCTTCATAACAGGAACTACAGGGACACTGGCCCCCGTTGGCCCCTGTCTAGAACCGCCCCTGGTTTTCAGTGTTTCTGCTGCTTCGAGCTGCTTCTGTTTTTCCCTCATGTGTCTCTGCTGCTGCAGCATCCTCTCCCTCCACTGGAGCATCGCTGATCTCGCCTCCCCTCTCTCTGCCCCCTTTTGTTGGCAGCCTTCTCACTCCGCCGCCCCTCCTCCATCTCTCTCGGCTCCCTGTGTGTGTCCGAGTGTGTGAGAGTGTGTGTGCGTGCCGATGCGCTCGCCGGTGAACAGGTGTTTCAGCCCGAGCTCCAAAGTACGGAGCAGATAGATGCAGTCGTTTCTACCCTGGACCTGCCAGAGGTCCTTCTCTTCCTGCAGAGATGATCCGGAGCATCGGGGAACCGCACAGGGTGCCTCGTTTGGAGAGGTTTAACCCGGCGCAGGCGCCTGGAACGCTGCCATAAACCCCCTGCCGGTGTTCCTGCTGGTTCCTACTGTGAGTATAGGAGCCCTGAGGAAGTTGGAGAGGATTTAAGCTGGAATCAAAGAGTCTGTGTTAAACTCATGAGCTGGAGCCGGACCCTCAGAGGAACCGGAGTCTAGGAAGATCCAAAGCTGTCATTCTGGTGTTTATTACTGCAGAAGCTGAAGCTGCACCTGTTTCACAAAGACACTTGTTGAAAGCAGGATTCCTGCTTCAGAGTCTCTGATGGTGATTTCTGTCCTGGTGGAAAACTTCTTCCCTTCTGTGTGAGGAGGATGGAAGCTGTGGGAATCGGAAGGACCCGTTTTCCATCACTCTGACGCCGGTTGATCGCTGCCTCTTCTCTTCTTTCTCTGCTCAGGTCGGACAGTAAGATCTCACGCTTGGCTCAGAGGTGGAACCAGAGGTCGACCGGAGATGCTCTGATCCGAGACCTGAAGCACCTGTATCCCACAGGGACCTGTCGATCCTCCCTCAGCCTGGACAG